CCCCCCCCCCCCCCCCCGCTCCACTCTCTCTAAAAATCAATGAAAAACATATATATCCTTGGATGAGGATTAAAAATCATCATCATCAAAAAGGAAGACCCTCTAAACTATATAATCCCATCTTTCTATAATGTAGATGGCTAAACTCAGGCAAAACTAAAGATTAGGGTACATATAAGGCCTGGTAATCATTTTCACCGTGGTCTAAAATTTCTATCTTCCATTCATGATAACTATTTTCATCCTGGTCTACAATTTCTATCTTCCATTCATGACAACTAACACTTATTACATCTTTACAATGTGCTCGAGACTAATACTAAATGCCTCTTTGGTAAAGTATCACTTCATCATCATCCATCAAAACCTATGGAGCAACTACAATTAATTAGACGGTGATATATTATTTTGACTACCTATTTTCTTCTGAGCATTGCAAACTCCCCTAGACATATATCCCCTAAGAGAAGTTAATTTTCCCATTTGGATCTTATAAATGAAGATTTGGCAGAACTACAGTCAGACCTGGCACCCAACTCTCCTCAAACTGTCCTTAAACAATCAAAAGCATTACAATAAGGATTCTAATTTTAAAAAGCCATATCATGTTTCATGTAACAGCATTCACTACTCCTTAGGAAACAGAAGCAGTATGTAGAATTGTGGAGATATAGAAATATAGGCATTAGAGGTAATCCTCCATGAATAAAGGATACTAAAAATTTTTTAAAATTGCGTAGCTTCCATACATTTTAATAACCCTGAAGAACCTTTCTATTACAGGTTGAATTCATAATGAACATAGAAAGATTTAAGTATACAAAGTATCTAAGAAAGGAAACAAATGCCTATTGTGGAGTTAGCTAGAATTAAGAGATAAATGCCTATACCCTGGACACTGTTCTGAAATAGACTCACTCACTCCCTGGTGGTGGCATACAAAGCCAGCCAATGAGTAACAATCCTCTCTACCCATCCCAATCTAGACCAGAGCAAAGATAGTCAGACCTTCCACATTTGCTATAGAGAAGGAGAAGAATGAAATGGAAGGAAAACCGAAAGGGGGAGGGAGAGAAGAAGAGAAAATAGTATTAGTTATAGTGATCATCTCATACAGATATAGTTTCCTTACCTTGGTCAGAGCTTGTCCCAAAAGATTCTCAAATGCTTTCAAATTAAGATATGGACCATTATAGTAGGGGTTACTTTGTGCTTTTCTTCCCAGCCAGTACAATGTTATCAAAACCTTTCAAAAAAGTCCATAAAACAAAAAGATCAGTCTATTTATAGCAACTAACTGCAATCTCAAATGCATGTGAGCACTCGGGATAAAAGAGCATATCTATCTATAGCTGAAAGATTTTTCTTTTAAATTATGGGAAGGAAAAGAGTCATTAAAAATGTGATTCATTCTTCCTAGATTTCACAGTTAGATTCCTGGTCAGGGCACATGCCTAGGTTTCGGGCTCAGTCCCCAGGTGGGGGCATTCAGGCATTCTCTGAGCACATTCTCAGACTAAAAGCCCAGATCCCAACTTCATATGTATAGTAGAATTCATTCATGCATTCTACTAGTACATATGAAGGGGGGGGGGGGGGAGAATTAAACTTTTAAAGCAATAAATATTTTTCTAACAACAAACTTAGTAAATGGACACTTGAAATCAATAAGTCTCAGCTTTCCTAAAGGTACTGAGCTCTTATGTTTTTAATAAGCTGTCACATCAGAAATTCTTCTAATACATTAGAATATTATAGATATTATATAAGTCCACATTGAATAATCATCTAGAGTTCTTAAACATTCAGTGTTGTTCCTTAAAGTCTGATTTGATGGTTTCTGACTTACTCCCCTAAAAATCCTAACATGTGTTTACCACATTACTAACATATGAAAAACCACTTTCTAAGTTTAAACTATCCTCTTATTACCATGAAGACAGACAATATGTTTTAACCATATTTTAACATATTTAGAGTTTGTGACTGGTTGGTTTCTAGCAAAAATTTCATAGAAAAAAATATAACAGAGAATATCAGATATTTTTAGATCCCACTGCCTTATTACATAAAAAGTTTTAAAAAATCTATAATATTCCATTAAACATATCTTACATTTTTCACTCTCCTATCGGTCTCTTCTTGCCTGCAAAGAAAAAAGAGAAAATATCTATTAATATCTAAGAACTTTAAATTATTAACTGAAACTCATTCCTATGAATATTAATACCACCTGGAAGTTCAAAAACTTCAGAAAAAAATTTCCTGCATTCATTGATTTCATGAAATATAAGCATCAGTTTCTGTTAAAAAGGTTGTGTTTTCTCATTTTATTCATTACTGGCGGGGTCCAGCCCCAGCAGGTCCAGGGGTCCCCAAAGGTGTGGACGGAGTCGGCGAAGAAGGAATGACACGGAGACAGCGTTCAGTTGATCAGCAGCCTAGCCAGGATCTCCAGCCAAGTTCTAGGAATGACACGGAGACAGCGTTCAGTTGATCAGCAGCCTAGCCAGGATCTCCAGCCAAGTTCTGGTTAGGAACTCCAGCAAAAGTTCTGTCTAGGATCTCCAGATTCTCCAGCCAGGTTCTCCAGCCAGGTTCTTTTGCCATGTTCTCTCGCTAGGTTCTGTCTCTAGGTTCTGTGTATAGGTTCTGTCCCTAGGTTCTGTCTTCTGTTGTCTTGTTACATCTGTATTTACCAGTTGATTTTAATCCTATCAATTTCTATTCCAAAGGTTAGGGTATTTCTTATCTCCATTCCAGGGAGTAAAGATTATGTAGCTTAAGCGTGATTGTTCGTAGTTAAAGTGATTAACTACCCGCCTGGCACTTAGTTAAGGGGTTTTATCCCCTTCCTAACTTCAGGGAAAAATCCCTACCTGGGGAAACAACCTTTCTCGGAGAGGTGACCTTGGTTAAAACACATAGCGCCAAGAAGGGGAGCAAACATATTAAGAACAGTATGCCATATACGCCAGGTCCCTTGAAACATACGCTGTGCAGATGTTTCTTCCCTGAAGCAACTGTGTCAAGCAGCAAGGATGGTCCGGTTCCCAGCAATTACAATCTGGTTTCTAAAATGCAGTATTTGCATTTTTTGTATTTATTTTAAACAAGGCTTAAACCAAGAGTCCTCCAGCTATACAGTCAGTGCCATGGTTCTCCACCAGGTCTGAGATCTGAGCCCCATCCAACCCGGTCACAGCAGGTGAGTTACTGACCTCAGCTAAGGCAGCTGAACTTACAGTGCCAAGAAACTTAACGTGGATGGAGAGATTTCCCTTTTTTTTTTTTTTACGGACAAGCATATTAAAGGGGTTGATTTTGCCTCTCAGTGTAGTTTTGGCTGAATTTCTAACATTTGGATTGGTGGTTTGGTTTATTTTTAAATGTCTAACCAAACTGATTCCCTGACCAACCCCCACTTACTAAAGAAAACATCTTAACCATGTTTTTATTTCTGGAAATTTTAAATATTCAGTTTGTGTCTCTTGATTGGTCTGAAACTCTTCCCCAAAAAATCAGCAGTCAGCTTCCATGCTCCTGAGTAACTACTTCCCAGTGAGACTGGAATGAAAGATATGGGTGCTTCTGAGATGCTTGTCCTAGTGATGGGGAACCTTTTGAGCTCAGCGTGTCAGCATTTTGAAAAACCATAACTTAACTCTGGTGCCGTGTCACACATAGAAATTTTTTCATATTTGCAACCATAGTAAAAAAGAGATCTATATTTTTGATATTTATTTTATATATTTGGATGCCATTTAACGAAGAAAAATCAACCAAAACGATGAGTTCGCCTGTCACCTCTGACACGTGTGTCCTAGGTTCGCCATCACTGCCCTAGGGCCTGCAGGGGAGAGCTACGGCTCTGTGGTCACTGAGCCCAGGTTACTGAATGAAGGTCCTGGGTTCCATTTCAGTCAAGGTCATGTACTGGTTGGGGGCATGATCCCTGGCCCTGGTCCGGGTACTTGGGGAAGGCAACCAATTAATGTGTCTCTTTCAATAGAAGTTTCTCCCTGTCTCTTTTCCTACTTTCCAATCTCTCTAAATATCAATGGAAAATATATCCTCGAGTGAGGATTAGCACCAACAAAAAAAAAAGTTAAAATAAAATAAAAATAAAAAGGCATGAAAAAAAATTGTCTAAGAGCCAGGGCAGGAAGTCCCTGGGAAAATCTCCACTGTCAGCACCACCATCCAGGACAGGTGCCCGAGGTGGGTACTAACCATCACACCTGCTCATAGAAGAGGAACAGGCCTGGGGGACACTGACCCAAGGTCACATGGGGAATGAGTCCTGAGCTGGGATTTGAAATGAAGTAGGGTGCCCTGGGCATGCCTGCTCGGCCCTGGTTCAAAACTGCCTCTCCCTTCCAGGAAACATCAGCAGAAGCCCAGCTCAGGACTCACTGGGCACATCTGGGCCTACAGTGCATTTGGCTCATGGGCCCACATGTGTGTGGTTGCGGTGAATTTGTACTGCAGACAAATTCCATGATTCCTCATGGAGGCAGCCTGGGCTTGTGCTGTCTATCCCTTTCCAGGACACCACTGGCTCCAGACGTCAGCACTCACCAGGGGCCTCCACTCATCACTCCAGAGTCTGTTCAGTGGCGTTGTCTTCTCTACGTGACTCAGAGTTCCCCAGAGTCAGAACCTGGCACACACACTGGGTGCTCAGGGTGTCTGTGGGGTGAGTGACTGACAGGAGAAGAATGGAAGCCTAAAGGAAGGCAATGCAGGCCAAGAGCTCCACATGGAGCAGTGGGCTGGCCCCAGTTGGCCTTCCTCACACTGACAATGGCCACCCATTCCTTCCACAGAGATCTAAGGAGCCGTGATTGCTCCCTGGCTTCAAAGAGCCTCTGGTCCAGCAGACAACAGGCTGTCAGACAAATACAGAACAGAGTGATATTGGGGGACAGGCTTACTGAAGAGGGAACCTGAGGGCCGATGGTCATAAGGGAAATCATTGGGGGTGTGGTGAAGTGAAGGGGTGTCATGAGGGCAGAAATGGGGCCATGGAGACACTATGTAGTGAGGGAAGGCACTTGCTACCTGGGAAGGGTTCTCTGTGGAAGAACCCTGACCCGCAGATAAACGTCACCTCGTGGCAGCTGCCATGATGTGACAGGGTTACGTGTGATGGGCCCATGTTTATTTCTCTCCGGGCTCCAAGATCCCAAAAGAGCCCATGCATTTGCCTTCAGTGCCTCTCGGGCTTGAAAATGTCTAACTCCCAGGCCTGACCTCTTTCCCTCTAATCACATTCTTAGATTTAATCTTCTCCACCCAGTCACTGAGCTAATCTCATCTTTCCCAGAGGAGACCCACCCTTTTCCTCCTGGGAGGGACAGAAGATGGAATCTCTCCCTTTGTCCTCCAGGATGGCACTGTCTGCCCTCCAGCTTGTCTCCTTTTAAATTCTAAATTCACCCAGAGAAGAGTCTTTCCATCTCTCGGGTTCCATTAGGATGGCTCAGCCCCACACTGCCCAGCCCTGACCCCTGCTTCTCATAGTGATTCTGTCCTGACCTCCCTCAGAGAAGCCTTGTGGTCTGAAGGGCCCCCCACATCCTCAAACAACCACCGCTTGTTCCCTGAAGGAGCTCATGATCTGCTGTGTCACCTGACATAAAACCTAAGTGACAACTAGATGCATGGACACATTTCTTTTTTCTTGGGGATGCCACCATTGTCTTCTCGCCTGTTTTAACTGTGGATAATTAGGATTACTCTAATGTGGCTAAAGATCCCAACAACCATGCTCTCAGGTTGTGTGTTTTTTTTCCTTTCAACGTCAGGAACGCATTTCACCCTTCACTCTCTCACACCAAGTATGATAGTTATGGGCCATCCATCCACCTCAGTCAGTGCCTTTGGAAGGAATCAATGAGCCAGTCTTCAACCTTGCCCCTCCCTAACTTTCTCTTTCCTAAACAGATATCTGGATTAATCAATTAGTAGGGAGTAACACATAAATCCCATTAGGATTATGGGATTTAGACCAGGGGTTCTGATTGGATGTTAGCATTTGAGAAGGTGTATAAAACCTCAGGCACCAGAGGAGAGATTCAGAGTTCTCCAGCTCTGCAGTCAGTGCCAGGTCTGAGATCTGAGCCCCAGCCAACCCAGTCACAGCAGACGTTTCTGCAGGATTCCTTTCTGAGCACCTTGAAGATGAGCATCCAGACGCCACCCACACTCCTGGAGCTGGCAGCAAAGCGCCTGCTGAGGGACCAGGCCTTGGCCATCACAGCTCTTGAGTACCTGCCCGCCGAGCTCTTCCCGTACCTGTTCGTCCCGGCCTACCATGGTGGACACCACTACCAGCTCCTGAAGACTTTGGCCCAAGCCTGGCCCTTCACTGTCCTCCCTCTGGGGGTCCTGATGCATCTGCCCCCTGATCATGCCCCAACCAGAGCCGTGGGCTTAAAAGCTGTGTTTGACGCGCTTGACGTTCTGCTTGCCCAGGAAGTTCGGCCCAGGAGGTGCAAACTGCGGGTGCTGGATTTAAGGAACACGGGTGCCAACTTCTGGGATATGTGGCTTGGAGTCAGCATGGAGAATTGCTCACCGAAGGGACCAGTGACTGTGCACAGCTCTAGCCCCAAAATGAAGCATCCCCTGGCTCCCTTGGAGGTGTTCCTAGACCTTGACTTCAATGAAAGGAACCGGGATGAGTTTTTCATGCACATCATCCAATGGGCCCAGCAGAGGGAAGGGTTGCTACACCTGTGCTGCAAGGCACTGAGGATTTCTGGGGTGCCCTTCCAGAGGGTCAGGAGGGTCCTGGATAGGGTGCAGCTGGACTGCATCCAGGAGGTGGATGTGAACTGCACCTGGGACCTGCCCACCCTGGGGACGTTTGCTCTCTACCTGGGTCAGATGAGTAACCTGCAGAGACTCTGTCTCCCCCACATCAAATTGTTGGCTGAGGAGGATGAGGATGAAGAGCAGGAGGAGGAGGGCGAGGAAGAAGAACAACAGGAAGAGGAGCAGGAGTTGAGGGAGGAAGAGGAGCAGGAGTTGAGGGAGGAAGAGGAGCAGGAGTTGAGGGAGGAAGAGGAGCAGGAGTGGGAGGAGGAAGAGGAGCAGGAGTTGAGGGAGGAAGAGGAGCAGGAGTGGGAGGAAGCAGAA